CAGCCTCTCCCAGCCTGCTACGATGCGCTGGTTGGCTCCGAGTGCCAGGAAGGGGCCCGAGAGAGCGCTAATCAGTCCCCAGGGCCCTTATGTAAGTGAGATGATTGCCGGCTGCAGGTTTGCTGCACCTGCAGGCCAGCAGCTGGGAGCCTCTCCCATGGTGGCAGAGACACTGTCTCTGCGGGGACAGCTGGGAGATGCCAAGGGGGTGGTCCTTCCGGAGGCTGGGGTATGCTGGAGCTCCTCTGTGTGCTGTGAGCTCATCCCTGCACATCCTCCCTCATTTCTCCTTGCTTGACCCTTGGATGCTGGCTCCGGGCCCTGCCTGGCACCTTCATGCTTGCCCAACCCCTGCCCCTAGCCCACCTCGCTCCGTGGCCCAGTCAGTCGTGGGCTCCTGTGCGTGGCTTGGCACCTGCATGGTTGTGTTGTGGCTGATTGATGCTGGCAACACCTCTGCAGCATGCCCCTGGGCCATGCCTTGAGGTTGGAGGCCTCTCAGAGCTGGCGCAGCACGCCGTAAGCTGTCCACCCCAGCCAAAGAGCTGGAGGCATGGAGGTCACATCAGGGCAAGGCTGGGTCTTCCTGCCTCCACAGCTCCCCCCAGGTGCATGCAGAGGCCAGCCAGGGTGCAGCCCCGGCACAGGGAAAGGGGACATCACTCTGCCCGCCCATCCCTCTGTAGGGCTCAGCACTGGCCTAGAGGTGACTTTCTTGGGCTAATTTCAGAGCCAGCAGATGGTAACGGCTTGCGGTGGCCAGGCCTCATTTAGCCCTGGAGGTGAAAAGCTCCCTCGGTCGGTGGAAACCCCGGAGCCGTGGAGCCCACTCTCGGTTTAAAATTCCCTTTGCATCCGGTGGAGACCCCAGGTCTTTGTGCTCTATTAATAGCTCGCTGAGCTCATGTATCAGTGTCTGGCGAATAACTCCGGCAAAGTCCCCCAGGACTCGGGCGGGATGGAGAGCGTTGGGGGCTTCTCTGGACCCTGGCGTGGGGGGTGTTGGCAGAGAGAATTTGCCCTTCTTGATTTATGATGGGCGCCTTTCCTGCATCTAGCCCCTTTCCTGACAGGAGCAGGGGCCATGGAGCGCTGCAGGCTGGGCCATGCAGTTGCTCTCCTAACAGCAGGTGTTCAGGTCCCTCTGGGGCGTTAGCAGTGTGGACCTAGATGTCTAGTGCTGGAGGCTTGGGATGTGCCCATCGGTGCTGCAGCAGGGTTTTCACAGCACGCTTTGCTGATGGGCGGCTGGTCTCTCCCACGAAACCTCAGCCTGAGGTCTCATCTCCCCCCTGCAACTCGGACTCCCTCCCTGCTTACCCCCGCTCAAAGCATCCCTAAAATCGCTCCTGTGCTTTTCATTGGCTCAGCACCTCGTGCAATGGATAGCTGACCCTGCCTTGCACCTGGGTCTGTGTGCTGGTAAATAGCTGCTGCGTTCCACCCCAGAGGTGGCTGCATTTCAGTGGTGTACGAAACAGCTCTGGTGTCTGTGTGGTGGTGAGGCCTTGGGGGGGTCTTTGTGGATGAAATGTGTCATCAGTGGAGCTGGAAATGGCCTTGTCACTTGGTGTGGGGTGACAGCATCCACACACCCCAGTGTATTTCTACTCCGTGGCTGTGCAGAGATGCCCGGAGGCTCCCGACGACCCTGCTGAGCCCTTTGATCGTGTGCATAGTGGTGCCTCTGTGGGACGTTTTCCCAGTAGTATCCCAGTAGCATGACACCTTCAGAGCCAGGGCTCGGGGTGACGGTCAGAAATCTCCAAGCCCTGTCCTTTGGAGCAGAGCGCCTCCTGCATGTCTGGTGCAGAGAGAGGCAGCTTCTGCCAGCCTCCACCCCAGAAGTGGCTGCATTTCAGCGACATGATGTGTTGTGTGTGGAGAGCTGAAGTCTGCTCCTACTCCTGGCGCCTGTGGCCAGGCTGCGCGGGGGGCTCTCGTTCTCCCCCACGGGCTGTTACTGAAGCTGAAAGGAAACGAGCACTGAAGCCCCTGGAGCTTTCCCTGTATTGACGATAAAGCAGCCGGCTGCGCTGCAGGGTCAGAGCTGCCTTGTGCTGCTTCGACTCTGGGGCCAACCGGGCTGTGGCTTTGCGGTTGCTCATGCCGGAGCCGTCCCTCGGGAGCAGCCCCCCACCTCCTGGCTTTGCACGGGGACTCTGCGAGGTCACCTTGGGGTCTTGCCAGGCTCAGCCTCCCCCTCTGCTTGCCTGATCTCCCAGCACCGGGCAGTGGGCAGCAGGCCAGCCCCATGCCTTGCACCCCCCTTCCCCAGGCCTGGGTGCCGAGCAGGGATCCCAGCCCCGGGGTCCCTCGGCGCGGCTGGCAGGTTGGCGCCTCTCCCGCAGGTGGCCCGCATTAAGTCGCCGCCGAGATTAGGGCTGTTTTCAGTAGGTTCCTTTGAGCAGCGGTTTGTTTGTGTAAATATTTGGACGTTTCTCAGGCGTGATTATTCAGAATTCTGCACCTCATGCATATTCAGAGGCCTCTAGCAAATGATTCCCCCCCCCCCATGAATATGGGATGGAGGGCTGGGTGACAGAGGGGGTGGGGAGCGCCTGGTGCTGGGGTGCGGGGAGGGGAGGGGAGGGAGCCGGCTGTGCCCCAGCTCCCCTGCGCGGGGAGCCCTGGCTGGGGCTCCGCGCTGCAGTGACTAGGCTTCTGCAGTGGCCTGATGCAGGCTGGAGGATGCTGACAGGCACGTGGTGGTTACCAGCGCTCGTCCCCGCTGCTGATTGGCCTGCGTGGGCTCCTTGGTTGCGGAGCAGCAGCGACAGCACATGCCACGGCAGCCCCGGTCCCCCCGCAAGCGGGAGCTAGGCAGGCTGGGACCCAGCTGAGCGTGGGCTCCAGGGGCCTGGGGGCACTGGGGAGCTTCACGGCATCCTGTCTCAGACGCTGTCGCCCTGCCTTGTCTCGCTGTATCCCAGCCCCCTCGGCTGGTCTGCTTTCCCTGCTGTAGCCCCGTATCCCCATCGCCCCGTCCCTGCCAGCTTCTAGGCGTTAAAGCATCCTGGAGGCTCCTTCCACGAGTTCACCCTCCGGTCTCTCTTCTTCTCTCTGTCTGCTGAGTTGGAGCCATTAGGGATGCCAGCTGCATGCTCCAGTGCTCCAAGAGGGTCCCCCAATGTCTGCCAAGCTTTTTTTTGGGTGGGGGGTCACGGCAGTGCCGGCCTCTGGGCAGCAGGAGGGTATAGCTGTGATCTGCTCTCTGAACAAGTGCAGCCTCCTCCACCCCAGAGGTGGCTGCATCTCAGAGGTGAGCGATGCAGCCCTTGCACCTAGCTCACAGGGTCCGGCGAGAGAGCTGCTTGGCTCCATGTCAGCAGAGGGATTTGGGATCCTGGAGTGAGGCGTGCCAAGCACTAATAACGCAGTTGCGAGCTCCTGGTGCCTGCAAAGTGACGGGATATTGTGGAGGGAGCTGGAGTGTGCTGGCTTTGACCGGGAGTGTCTGTAGGGCCGGCTGCTCTGACATTGAGCTGGCGAGGAGCGTGTCTTGCTGTCCGATCTAGGGGGGAACGCCTGTTCCCACCTGCTTCACTCATGCAGGGTCTAACGGTCACTTCCTCATGGACCAGCTGCCCATCCCCGTTACCCACCAGCTATTTGATCCGTGCAACATGCCCTTTCCTGCATTGCTCCTGGAGATGATGCCTCAGTCCCAGGACACTGCAGGGAGGGATGGGGGGCAGCACAAAGCAGGAGTCACTGTGCTGATGTGTCTGCTTCTCTCCCAGGGAGCAGGGAGGTTTCCCGGGGACAGGTCCTTGCCAGAAGGGTATGGGTGCCCCTCATCCTCCTTGGTTGGTGTCAGCTTAAGAATATATTGGGAGCAGATCTTTGCATTTTCTGGTCCTAGACACTTTCCTGGGCTTGTTATTACACAACCCACGCCGTGCCCTGCTTGCAGCCTCAAGGCCGGGGCTGTCCCAGTGCTGCCCTGTGTCCAGCTGGGAGCAGAGAGTTGTTCTGCCTCTGGAGTTACAGCAGGGCAGCCCGTGGTGTGCTTTACCCTGGTACCGGCTAGCTTTACTCCTAGAAGGTGAAGCCAAGCTGCCTTCTGCCGGTATCACGCCTTCCCCTTTCCAGACACAAAGGAGCTAGGCTGTCCGCGCTGCTCTGTGTCCAGCCAAGGGGTTGTACCGCTCTCGAGCCGCATAGGAATAATATAAAGTGTGAAGACTTGTGCGGAGACCAGGCCAAAGCATGTGCAGAACCCCAAAGCAGCCTGCAAAAAATGGGGAGGTTGGATCTGAAATCCCGAGAGACTGCAAGTAGCAAGGAATTGCAGGGTTTTTCTTCCTCTGTGAATTCCAGTTTTGAGTCCTCCCAGACCGCATTTCCCAGCTCTTTCCTGCAGCTCCTCTACCTACAAAGGTACTTTGTTCCCACATGCCAAGGACGAGGAGCTGGGCTCTAAGAGCAACAGCCCAAGTCATGAGATGTGCAATGAAATCATTAGGGCTGGCACCGCTGCATCTCCTCTGTTTTTTCTATCACTCCCATCAGCCTCGTATTGCTGCACGGGTGCTGTTGTGTTTGTGATTCCAGTAGTACGTGAACAAACTATGCTAATGTTAGTGCAGACTGGGCCAAAACAATCACCAGCTTAAGCAGGTGCGTCTCCTTTGACGAAAATAAAGCTGAACTTGTTGCAAATTTGGCCTCTTCTAATACTTTCCCTCTTCCTGCACTGGCAGCTCTCTCCTCAGCCTGCCTTTGTGGGAGAGAGCACTGTTATTTCCACTTTACAGATGGGAAAACTGAGGCAGGGAGAGGTGATGTGACTTAACCCAGGCTAAGCCCTGACTCCTGGGCATCCCTGATGTTAAAAATAAAGGCCAGAAAAGCATTTATTTTCCTGCTAGAGCTGATAGCTCTTCGGAGACAAAGTGTATGTCCCAATCCTGGCAGAGCAGATCCAGGCTGATGAGCGACGAATGTTTTCTGCTTTGCCCCCGCTGACTGTTTCTCCTTGCTTGTCCTCCCCACAGGCATCACGTCCATTATGTTATTCCATATGACGGAGACCAGTCGGTGGTGGACTCCTCGGAGAATTACTTTGTCACTGATAATGTAACCAAACAGGAGATTGATCTGATGCTGGGACTTTTGCTGGGCTTTTGTATAAGCTGGTTTCTGGTGTGGATGGACGGGGTTCTCCATTACGCCGTGCGAGCCTGGAGAACCAGCCGACGGTATGGTAAGTGCCTTCCCGGCGCCGCAACCCCCACCCCCCCCCAGCAATGCTGGAGCCCTCTTGCTCATCCAGGGGTGTTTTAATTGTTGACTGGGGTTGTAGGATGTGTGTTGGTTTAAAGACCCTTTCCAGAGAGTGTGTGTTGCTTTGCTGGATTCTCAATCTCTCTGCTGGTGTACCTGTAAATGGTTACCTGAAAGTCCCCCTTTTTCAAGGAGGGGCATTTGCAGCAAACCAGAATTAACATGCAACCAGGGGTGTTTGCTGGAAAATGAAATGTATATGACAGTCGTGGAAAACCATAGCGTTTGCCTGTGTCCACGTGTGAGCTGAAGGTCTGACCGACGGGCAACATTCGGGTCAGTCTTTTAATGCTTATATTCGTAACAAGGTAGACCCTTGCAGTGGGAAGGTGCTCTTGGTACGTACCTATAAATCAAAGGCTGTGAGATCAGATGGAAATAGGCACGCACACGAACACACCCCAGTGATCTCACTAGGTCCCTTCCAGCCCTAAACGTGTGCGATTCTGCGAATCGGCAAGGCTGTGCGGACTTTGGGATCTGTCGTGGTGGGCTGCGTGGACGTTTGCCGTGTTGGTTGTCTGCACGGTTGCACATGTAACCTGGGGAGTGCTTCCTGGCAGTGGGATGAATGAGGTGGGACAGGGTAAGATGGGACACCACATCTAGGAGAGAGTGTCCGTCATAGCAACTCAGGGCTCCACATACCGCGTCCAGCCCCCGGCCCAGCTAGTCCATTGGCCTTCCCCTGACAGCAAGCCCCTGTTGTTTCTCTGCCCTCACAACCCATGCTCTCCCACCACAGTCTTTCCCTGCTGTCGTGACTAGGAGGGAAAATAAGAGAGAGAAAACTGATTGGAAGTAACAGGTGACTCGAAATCCCATTGTATAATCAGCGTCTCTGCAAATTACACTCTCTCTGCAACCTGGTTTATAACGTTTATTCAGTTACAACTTGGGTTAAAAAAGAGAGAGAGTTATTTGGAAACCTATTAAAAAACCCCCTCTAATTATTCAGGCTCATTCCCTCTTTCCAAAAACTTCCATCAAAAGTGCATTCATTTCTCATTAGTCTTTCCATATCCCCAGCAGCCTGCTGGAGTGGTCCGTTTCTGAACGAGGACTCTCTTGAGGGTGGTTGGTCCTCTGCTTTGGAAGAGGCAGCAAATGTTTGGTGGTGGCTGTGGTGGGGAGGGGGAGTCCTCGGAGGTCTAAACTATACAGCCAGGCTGCCTGCCTCCCGCCCTTGCACGGCAGGCTGGCATGTCGGGAGTCGCGGTGGAAACAGGCCTGGGCTGGGGCAGGAGCAGAGAAAGAGAGCGAGCGATAGCAGGGGTGTCGCAGCCCTGGGGCGCTGAGCGAGTCCCTTGGTGACACATCTGGCTGAGGCATGGAAAGCAAGTGCGCTCACTCCCTAACCAAAGGCCCCTAGAAACCGCCTGCACAGGCAGTGTCAAGCAACCCAAAGGCAAGAACAGACTGGTTCTAGCTGTTCTTTTTTTTTTTGTCCCTGTTTTTTCTTCCTGTGTCTAAATGTTTTGCAACCTTTAAAGGGGCTTGGGTAGTCGCCAGGGCGGTGATTTACATCGTCTGTTCCTGCCAGGCCAAAGATGGAAATGTGCGGAGCAGTAAAGTCCCTTCCCTTCTAGCAGGACATCCCTGGAGGCTGTGCTGTGGAGCTGGGGGAGCTCCCGCTGGGGGCCTGTGTCCTGGGCCGGTCTAGCGGGTGAACAGGGGCTTACCCCTCAAGTCTGCAGAGAGGGTGGCTGTGCTGGGTCTGGGGAGGGCAGGCCACGCAACACCAAGGCAGCCCATCTCCTGGGGAGAGGTGTGAGTGCCCCCACCTGGCAGCTGATGCATTGTGCCTGAGTGCTGTTGGTGGGTTGTGTGAGCTCGTGCAAGGCACCGAATGCGTGCATTTGGTGTGCATTCGAATGCGTGCATTTTTGGAAAATGTGCCTGCGTGTACCCCCGGGCTGGGAGGGGCCTGAAAGTACTCTCAAGCCGAGGGAATTTTGGGATGTTGGGCTGTGCTCAGGGTCCAAAGGGTCGTTGATGTCTGTCAAAGCAGGTCCCTTTAAAATCCTGGGACAGAAGAGCAGCTCCCATCACAGGCCCCCGGAGGCACGCTGCTCCGAGCTTGTATTCATTTTGTGCCCCCTGGGGAAAATACCCCTTCAGCCTCTGCTACGGGATGCTCCGTCAGGCCAGGATGTCTCCCTGAACACGACACAGCAGCCGGGGAAGCTTCTCCTTTGGTCGTCCTAGGGCCCTTGCCGGGGACATGGGAGTGCTGCTAACCCCTGCTCCTCAGCCAGAGGAGCAAAGCCCAGGCTGTGGGCACTGTGAAGGTGCCGCCCGGTTTATCTTGCCTTGGAGTGGCACAGCCCATGCCAGCTCCCCCAAACAACCAGACCAGAGGGTTTTCTTCAGCTCTGAGGGCTCCGGCTTTCCAGCCTTTCTGCACAACCTGGAAAATTCCTGTTTGCCTGCAAAGAGGCAGCAGGTTCCCAGTGCTCACTAGACTCCAGGAGCTGGGGCTTTAAGGGAAACCTCCTGGGGGTCACACCTGGTGACTCTCAGGTGGGGACGGGGACTCGCATGGGAGACTTGGAGCCACCTGTTGTTTCTCTGGGCTGGGCCTTGCAGGTCAGCCCGAGGAGCACCGTGCTGTGGCTAGTCTGGCCACTGCGTCTCAGAAGGGGGAGGCAATTGGACCATGCCATGCTGCTCCCAGGTGGACGGTTGGATCGCCTCTCCCCTGCACCCTCTGCTTTTCTTGGGGCTGGTGGCGACAGCAAGGGAGGAGACTACTGCAAAGCTGCAGGGGTCTGCTTTGCACCTGGGTGGATGCAGGCTGAACCCCTGGCCCTGTGGCACCCACTCTGCAAGTGTCAATAGAGAGCAACTCCCAGGGGCGGGGGGTTGAACATGAGTGGGGAGGAGATGTCTCCGGTAGCTTTTACGGCCTCCTCGCGGTCCCTTGGCTGTGCTGAGTTGCACAGCTTTTGCTGTCCAGGCTCGGACCCCTGCCTCTCCCAGAGGAGAAGCCCTTCTTGGCGCTGGGCAGGGTGGAGCCCAGTGCAATGCCCCCCAAGTCCACAACCCTTCAGTCTAAGTCTCGATGGATCGAACCTGTCTGGAGCAGGCAGAAGGGTGACCTCCTATCCCAGTCACGCTGGCTGGAGGTAATTTGCTCAGGTGATGCCCAGAGTCCTGTAGCTGGCAGGAAGGGCCTGTTTTACCATGTAGCTCAACGGTGCTCTGACCTCCCCAGCCTCAACATACTGCGGAGATGCACAAAAAGCAGAGGGAGTGGTAATTAGCCCCAGGGACCCATGAAATCTGCTCCCAGAGCAGATGGATGTGCAGCGTGGAGAAGCGGTGTTCCCAGGGCCGATACTTTCCGTGGAGGCGCACGGGGAAGCAGATGGAGGGGCGGGAAGCAGCAGGGGCAGGGGAGCCTCCTGAGGCCTGATGCGCCCCCACCCGCACGGGTCTCTCGATTCATGAGCCTCCTATCGGTGCCCTCCCATCCGCGGCTCCCAGCACACATCGCACACGAGGCAGGATCACGTCACATGGGGAAGAAAGGAGGCAGATAGTGTTAAGTCCCTTTGACAGAACAAGGTATGAAACAACTCCGCTTCCACCCCGGGCCCTGTCTTGCTAACTCGGGAGAGAAATCTGAAGCTACTCCAGTGGAAGGACTCCAGATTCATACCCACGTCGCTGGGCTCAGGGCAGGACCCACTTCCTACCTGGTGGCAGACCTGGCCTGTCTGCCTCGCACCCAGAGCGGGGCACACCAGGGGATTCTTCTTCTGTAAAATAGTACTTTCGAAGCAAACCGAAGGCTTTTCATTTGCATCCCAAAAAAAGAAGTGGGGTAAGAAGAAAAAAAACGAGAGGGTTTCAACATCCAGAATGAGACGTTTTCAGGTTCTCTTTAATGAAAGTTCAGAAAATGGGACTTTCTCCTGCTGTTTAGTCCAAACTTCCTCTTTTCGTCAATGCTTTGAAGCAAAATGGATGGACAAGCTGTAGGGATGGTGGGGGACATGCAGGAGACCCAGGCCCTCGGTAGGATGCTTGGGCTCTCTCTCCAGGGTAAATCCCAGAGCAGCGCACCTGTGGGTGTGGACATCGCATCTCTCTCCCCATGCTTTCAGCCTCCTGTAATTCTCCTCAAGGCGTTGGGGAGGCAGCTGGTCTTTCAGGGCAGGACGGGCGCACAGGCTGCTTTTCATTGCTGGCATCTGGATTGAGAAGCCAGCACAGGGACTCTGCCTGGGGGTAAAGAGGTGGCTTTGGTGCAGAGGGCTATAAATCACTGTAGGACTTAGGCCCTGTCGCCGACGGCCTAGGTGCTGGAGGGAAACGACCATACGGCGTTGAACTCAGGGCAGAATAAAGTGTCTGTAGGTGACGGGGGCTGGAAATGGAAGTAGCCCAGTGGCTGTGCTGTGTGCGGACTTGTAGCCTCTTAATGAACCCTCTTGTGACCAGCCCAGGGAGTAATTCTCACTGGGGCTGTGTTTCCCAGGTGGCAAAAGGGAGGAACAGAGAGAGACTTACAGGATGAATGCCTAAGAGCCTGAATCCAGCACCCTGTGGGGGCGCTGTACGGGTTTGGGGATAGGAGGCTGCCAGCAAGCTGGCTGGGGACCTGCCTACAGCTGTGCGTATAGTGAGCGCTGGATGGGACTTAAGTCTTGGCCCAGGTTATGGCTGGAGAGCAGCACCTCCATTTCCTTGGGGTCCACGGCCCCAGCCCTCTGCGGGCAGCAGGTGTCTATGCCCTTTCATTTGAAGAACTTGCCAGGGTTGCCCCCTTTCTCTTAACACAGCTGGTGGGGATTGCAGTCCTCACCATGCATGTCTAGCAATCTAGCCATTAGATAACCTACCCAGAATATGCACAGCCTGGGGTCGTCTGTCTCGGGGACCTTCACATCTGCATCTCTCAACTCCGTGGCAAGGCCCCGAACCTCCGGGTGACAGGCTGGGCCCCCCTGCTCTGCTAATGCTGCTGGGCACAAGAAAGTGGACAACTTACGGGGACAGGATTAGAGAGCAGGAGCCTGACTCTAACTTGCTGGTTTGGGAGGTGGGAGGCCTTTATTTACTTGTAGTTGGTCGGTCAGTCCCACTGGCAGGGGAAATGTGCCAGGGTAGGCACAAACCCAACACTGTCCAGAAAAAACATACCTCTTTATATGTATAACCATCCCGGCATAAGCTAACAGGGATGCCCACAGCTAGCCTCCCCCTTGCCTATCAGTGAAAGCGTCTTGACGTTCACCTTGCTGGGGTCATCTGATCCTGGTGGTCTTTCCTGCCCAGGTGCAGGGGGCTGGACCCAGTGATCTGTAAGGTCCCTTCCAGCCCTGAACAGCTATGAGACTATTTCTGTTTCCAGTCCACCTGCTATGGCCCTTGTCCCTCTGTCTGACTTTCACATCATACAGAAGGCTGCACCTTGTGAAATGAGACTATTTACAGTCAGGGCTTAACCACGCAAGACTGTGCTCCCTCCCAGGGTTTTCACCACATTCGTGTTGCAGTTGCAGTCAAGCGGCTCTTCAGGGGCTTCCTGACCACCAGCAATGGCCCCTACTCCCAGAACTGCTTTGGGGGCTGGTTTGAAGAAGGTTTTCCTCAAGGTTTGAGAAGAACCAGAAGATTTTCTGGTTTAAGGCCAATGGTTGTTTAAAATTTTAATCGCCACTTACAGTCCCCCAGTTTGGGCAGTCTCCTGAGAGGGGGGACTTTGAATTAGCTTGCATGGAAGACCCTCACCACTTGCAAGACTCTCTGTCATGCAGGCATTAGGCCAGGCCAGGTCTGGGTTGTTACTTCTGCTCGGAAGGATGCAAAGGGGGTTCAACACATTGGAGGCCAAGGCACCAGCCCCAGGCCTGCCATGGGCCAGTCCAACATCGTGGGGATGGGAACCTGGGTCTCTTCTTCTCCCCATTGAACTGGCTCACGCAGTTCCTTTGGTGGGGATCCTGCCCGAATCTGTCAGCGCGGAGATAGCGTCTGACAACCGGAGCCTAGCAAATGTAGTGCCTGCATTCAGAAAAGGGAGGAAGGGGGACCCAGGCGGTTAGAGGCCTGTCAGCTTGACTTCAGTAAGGTCTTACACCCAGGTTGGAAAGAAAGGATTTGGACCTAAACAGAAACAGGACAATATGCAACATGGTTGAAGCCAAGGAAAGTTGTCACGCAATTTAGCATCCTTCTGTGACAAGAAGCAGGCTACTTAGATGAGGGCAAGGCAGACATCGAAGAAGCCGTCCTAGGGCTACCTCCAAATTGGGTTGCTGCTGACCGTCGGTGGAGGCCGGAGGCTGGTGTCTGGGTCTTGTCTCACTTCCTGGGTCATGGCTTTGGCCCGCAGGTGGGACATACACCCAATGCAGCTCTGAGTGGTCACTCGCTGTCCTGCCAATGCTGGGGCTCGGAGTGGTTCTCCAGCCCATTGGTCAAGGGCCCCCAGACGGGACTGGCAAGGGCTGCTTCAAAGCAAGAGGCTGTAGCTGACAGCCCAAAGAGAGGTGGGCAACACCACTGCCTCCTGCCTCGGGGCCAAGCTCTGGCCACAGAGAGGGGAAGCCGTTGCCTGTTGCTCTCCAGCACAAACCAGGTGGAGAAGGGGAAGTTTGGTCCTTCATCTGCACTGTCCACTGGGCAGACCAACCACTGGGATGTGATGAGGCAGCTCCAAGGGGCCATTTGCCTTGTCCTTTGAAACCTCCCCCTGCAAGGGCAGGGGTGAGAGCTGCATGCCCCCACTGAAAGGAAAGCCGGCCTTGCCAGCCCAGCCCAGGCCAGCAGGTAGTCTGTGGGCCTGCCATGGGTGCAACCCTGGGCTTGAGCCTGTCCTCACTGTTCCCCTTCCAAGCTGCAGCCCGTTGTCGTCTTTGGCAGCAGAACTGGGACCCTGAGCTGGGCCCTGGCGCGACTCATCCGATTGAGAGGAGCAGGGCAGCAGCGGAGGTGCTTGGTGGGCCTGTGGCTTGGCTGTTTGTCTCGGCAGTCAGAGTCGGGTCCAGGTCCCTGCCTGGATGTGCGATGTGTTGCCTGGCTTGCTGCCTCTGCAGTGGGGTCCGCCTCACTCCTGCGCTTGCTTTTCACATGGCCACCCCGGGGCTCCGGCCTCTGCGCTCCTGCATCACTTCTCCCTCTTTGCCAAGGCCTCTTTAATATTCAGCACAAACCACAGGCAGCTGCCAGCCAGGGACCTCGTGAGCCAACAGCCTTCAACTCAGGCCTGCATAAGCCCTCTGAGGAGGCTTAAAACCATCCCCACACCTCTGCTAGGGAGTCTACCTGGGTCCAGATGCCTGGAGGCATCTGGGCCCCGCTGCAAACTGAGCCCCCGCATGAAAGGGAGACAAGATTCCCAAAAGGCCAGTCATTAGCCCAGGTGAATGTCTCATGGGCACACGCTCCCCGACGGGCTGGACTCCTCCGCTCTGCTCAAGGCGACGTCTGCTTCTCCGAGGGGATGTAGGGGCCCTGGTTGCAGTGCTAGGATTGCAAATGAAGGGCCCCTTGCTCCCAGGAGTAAACTCCCTCCCCTGATTTCTGCAGGCCCTGGATTTGTCCCAGCGGGCACGTAGCTGGCCCGCAATCTCCGCCCGCGCCGAGCAACCCGTGACGCCTCTGTTAGCCGCTAAACCCTGCTCTTTCCTTTTCTTTCCAGACAATTCTTGGTCTTGGATTCCGAAATTTTGTAACTTGAAGGAGTTCAGGAAACGTCACCACAGGCAGTACGAGGAGGCCACCGGCAACATGGTGCACATCAAACAGAAGCTGTATCATAACGGGCACCCGAGCCCCAGACACCTCTGAGAACCGCCCTGCCCTCCAGAGACTGCGGAGAGGTCCTTGAACTTTGCTCTTCTCGGAGGAGCACACCCGCATGTTCGCTCCTCCGTGGAAGCCGGTGGAGGATGCCATTTGATTTGTTCATGCGGTGTGTCGTTGCGGCAGATGGAGAATGCACAACTAAGCCAGTTCTGGATCCCAGGCAGCCAAGACTTTGCACTGTGTTCATCGTTTTATTGTCGGACTTCTGTATATATGTAAAAAAAAAAAAAAAAATGGGGGGTGGGGGGAAAGAGATTTGCATTATACTTCCAGAGCCCATCCCCAGTGTTGGAAGTTGTTCTGCATACTCAATGTACCTTTTTTGGGAACCGGTTGTGCTAGGGATCGGAGGCGACCGCTAACAGAAGACGTAGTTTCGCAGCGGAGAGGTAATGCTCCCTTCCACGTTCTGGCTCTGTATTGTTTCCTTGGCTATGACTCTTCCCATTGCAGGGTGGCACTGGCGCTCGCTGTCGCGGTCCGAAGGTGCGGTGCGTCCCTGTTTCTTTGCCTGTTATTTTTTTTTCAAGAGGGGGCGAGAGCTCGAGCGAGACAGAGAGGAGACTGAAATTCGTGGATGTAAAGAGGGCGGAGAAAACCAGGCCCCCAGTCTGGCCCCATTGCATTGCCAACGTGAAATGATCCAGCCTGCCGTGGGGAGGCGGGACAGATCGTACCCATTCTGACAGAGGGGAAGTTTGAGGCACAGAGTAATTTGCCTGAGATCACGCGGGGGCAAAGCAGGGCTCAGCACCTGGAGGCTCCAGTGGGATCGGCACTGGAGAGCCGCTGTGGGAGGAGGTGAAGACAGAGCAGACGCTAACCCCCAGAGCCAAACAGCCCGAGGGGCTGTAAGAGCTGGAAACAGCTGATGGCACCTTTCACGTGGGAGACATGGCACGTGCCGTGCCTCGGGCCTGGCTCTTAGGTGCGGCAACGGTTTATGAGAATACAGCCTTAACCTCCTGCCTGAGACAAGGGACCTCCTAGCATCTCCTCTCCGAGGGCATGTATCCTGCAGGGAGCCTGGTCTGAGCATCGGGGACCAGTCTGAGACAACCGGACTAGATTTCAGCAGGGCTGTTTTGCCACGAGCGGCCCTTGCCCAGCAGGAGGAGGGGGTAGAGTTTGGCCCTGGGGGTGTATGGTGAGCCCTGCCCCTTTTGCCATTTCTCCTCCGTTCCCAAATGCTTATACAGTGGGTCTGTGCCCGGCAGCCTGGTACTTCCTGTGGCTCTGGGCGGAAAGAACCAGGAAGCCCCAAAACCCAGGAAACCGCTCTCGTCCCTTTGTGGCTTATTTTGAATCGACCTCCTCTGCCTGGGAATCAACCTAAAATCAAAAGCAACAAGCCAGCCTTGTCCTTGCCATGGTGTGCCCCCTCCCTTCTCACTCACCCCCCAGCCCCGGTTTATGGTAGCTGAGGTCTGTGCTGGTGTCCGGCTGCTGGGACGTTGGCTGTTTGGGCGCCCGATGGTCGTGCTACCCCTGTAGGTGCCTGGCTGTGTTAGACGGAGGGGTTTTCAGCTTCTCCTTGTGCATTAGTTCCTGCGGCTGGCGCAAATCAGCAGCGACTCAGTGGAGCTCTGCAGATTTACACTAGCCGAGGCTCCAGTTGGCTGAGTTCAGCGGAGCCAGGACAGCTTGCAGCCCCGGTGGGATCTGATGCGTCTGTTCAAACAGCTTTAAATCCCCCGTCTTTTCGGCGCCTCCTCCAGCAAAGCGAGCGAGCGAGAGAGTGGTGATGCCTGGGCCAGGCCGAATGCACAGCGCGGTTCTGCCTTGCTCTGTAAATCACTGCTAGTGGGTGCATCATTAAATACGAACCTGACAAAGGACAAGAACGAGGCCTTGGCTGGTGGTGACTGAGTCTGAGCCCTGCGAGGCGTTCAGGGAGAAGAGGTTGTCTTGCAAGGTGTGTGCTCCCCTGGTCCCCGGCGCCGTTACAGCTGTGGGGGTCAGGCTCAGGGCCTTTCTCCTAGTCTTGGTGCTTTCAAATATCCAGAGCGATGGGAGTAATGTGCAAATCCGCCAGAGCCCCTGGGATGTGGCACATCAGATCCAACATGCATGGCGGTCTCTGGAAGCAGCCCCATTGCTTGTAATGCACCTTGGATCGGGGCCTGGGGCAGTTGTCACCCCTATGCAATGAGGGCTGCGCATCACTTGCACCCTTGGGATGTGTCTGAACAGGGGCGCAACAGGAAAAGATGGGGGGAGTTCTGCTGGGGCCCACCCCCATCTCCTGCTGCTTTTACAATGGTAGGGGGTGGACATCCGTGGAGCTGCTTCCAGTCTACCCCAGGTATGTCCTCTGATTGAATGGTTAAACCCCAAGAGGGCTGGGGTGATTTTTTTCTCCCCAAAAGAGGAATTTCTGCAGCACTGAGCATTAGGGCTGTGTAAAGCTTCAGATCATGATTTGGATTCGGAGATAATTTGGGATTCAAAGGCCGAATCTACGAATCGGAATTGAATCGATTTGGAGCTTCCGAATCGATTCAGAAAAGATTTGGAGATTCGGGCGTAGGTATAATGGTGAGCATGTTATAGAGATCACCCCAAGAAGGGACGGGGAGTGGGACCCCCCGGAGCCGGCGTGGATCCGGGAGATCCTGCTCCCGCCCCATTACCTGAGCGGCCAGTCTGCAGCAAGGCTCCCCCTGGCCTGACACAGCCCGAGCACGCGGCGTCTTGTCCTTTTGTCCCATGGAGGTCGCTGCTGTCACGGGTGGCTTGGCCACGCGTGATGTCCATTGCCCCCGCCCCGTGCACGTGCGTGTGGTGCTTCTGGCTGGAGGTGGGGGTGCGCGCCCTTGTTGAATCCTCTGGCCTGGCTGTTGCAGTCTCGCCTCTGCTCCGTCTTCAAGCACAAAGGAAACCCCAAGCAGGTGGATGGGGAGGAGGGCTCTGGCAGGGGGAGTAAGCAGGGATGGGGAGTCCGGTGGGGAAGGGGAGCGGGCCGTGCCGCGGGGTGGCAGGTTTGCCGGCCGGGCCTGCTGAGGAAGCCTTCTGTGGTCTTACACAGTTGGAGACTTTTCCGCAGCCTCAGGTGGGGCTACTTTTAGAGCCAAGACGGAGCTTGGAAACCGGCTCTGCGCGATCTTGGGGGCTGGAGCGAGGCGTTTCAGAGCGTGGCTCCCAGTGGCCTTGCCTTAAAGGTGGGCCTGGCCCGGGTGGGCACCCCCAGGAGGGGGAATCCCATCAAACCAGCCAGGCACCCCTTGCCCCGTTCGAACATGTCTTCCCAGCTCTGCTAAAAAGCCCCCTGCCCCGGGTCAGAATCCATCCTGCCCAACCAGCTCCTTTACGTCCCCGTCTGACATCGCTGTCCCCGCTGACATCACATTTGGTTTCTGATGACCTCACGGGTCAGAAGAAATGGCAGTGAATGGGCCAAATTCATGCCAGGTGGAGCTGTGCCAGGCAGGGGGTTTGACAGCCTAATCCCTTCTTGGCTGGGAGCTGTTCCTGCTGGTCCAGCCAGGGTCTCATGTTACCTCCGACGGCTGCTGGGGTTGTCTCCAGTGAATCGGAGAAGGCAGGGTCAGAAAGGGATGGTGCTCTCGCCCCCCACATCCACCGCGCCACGCTCTGTCCTGTGCAGCACTGCGTCTCCAGGAGCGCTGGCCATGGGGACCCACTGGGACAGGAAGCAAGTGTCTTCTCCTGCAGTAGCACATGAGATTGGGGCCCAGTGTTTGAGGTGTTTTGCGAGTCCTTGGGCATTCGGCACCTAAGTACCTTTGTGAAGAAAGGCCCCACATTCAATAGGCAAGAAGGGGCAGAGCACTAGAGAGAGGGGATGCAACGTGCCCTGGGGCAGAGCTGAGGACCCATGTCTCAGCCTCATGCTCCAGCTGCTAGTTATCCCTGCTTTGGGTCACTCAGGTGGGTGCTGGGTTCACAGCGGCTGTGCCAAAGGTGCAGGTGATGGGTGTGTTGCGGAGCAGCCATGGCAAATCCTTGAGTGTGGCTGGGTATTATGCAAACATGGGATATTGGGGCTAGCAACAGCAACACTGATTTGCCCAGTGCTTACCGTGATGGTGGTCCAGCTATGCGAGACCCTCGCCCCCACCCCATCACTGCTAAGCCCAGCACAGCTGCCCTGGCCTTAGCAGTGCTGAGGAAGGCGGCTTAATTACTCTGACAAACATCCAGGCATCGTTTCTCTTGGGAAGGATTTTTTTACCGTATTTTATCACATACAATACACCCCAGAATGAGACGCACACCTTGTTTTAGAAAGGCAGAATGAAGGAAAAGCTCTTTCCTTGGAGAAAGGAAGTGGGTAGCAGCAGCAAGGGACCCGCGCCTGCAGGTTGTGGATCTGGGTGTAGCCTCTACTTTTGCCTTTGCCCGTGCCAAAGCTTAATCAGCAGACACGGTTGTTACCATATTTCCCTGTGAATCATATGCACTCAAATTGCCAGCAGCTGGTGGTTTTTTGGAGAAAAAGTTCATGTTGTATGCAGGAAAATCCAGTGTTTCCCTGGAAAGGGTGATGCTCGTTGCAGATCATGCAAGGACTCACTCTTTCCTACCACATTCAGACCTTTGGGGGCTCGGCTCCAGGAGGAAATAGCTCAGTGGAGCTTGTCCACAATAGCTCTCCTGCATTAGCTCATGCTGGGATGGGAGATGCACTCGTTCTGTACTAAGAAAAACCGGGATTAGCATCAGTTTTCCAGCACTGGAGAAACCACCATTGCAAAGGGGATGCTGGTCACGTGCAAGTGTTCCCTCCGAGCTGGGGGCTCTGACCTGCTCCCCTTTAGAAAGGGAAAGCTCCTCACCTGTGCACAGCCCGAAAGAATGAGCTGTAGCTTAGCAGCTCCCATAGCGCTGAAGGGAGTTAGTTAGACAGGGCTCACGGCAAGTTAAACCAGCAAAACCCCCTTGTACAGCTGCAGACAAGTGGTACCAGCAGAGCTGCAGCTATCCTAGCACTGCTACCAGCAGAGGGAAGGTGGTGCTGCTTTTCTATGGACATAGCAAACGCAAACTTCACTGAAGGCCAAGGAGATTTAGGCTCCTAAGTCACTTTGGCTTTGGAAAATATAGCACATGAAGCCCAGGGTCTGGCAAAGCCCAGCTCAGTGAGTCCACGAGCCAGGGCCTGGCTGCACTACTGGAAAATGCCAGGACTGCAATGCATGCGGGGCTGAGGCGCCATTTCGGTAGTGTCCACCTGCACGGAGGAAAGGGCGGCGGTGCAAGGGTGGGCAGGTGGTGCCATGAATCCCCAGCTTCTCGCACGCTGCTGACCCTTTGCAGTCATGTTCCAGCTGTGTCTGTTGCCATCTGTGTGTGTGCGTGCGCGTGCGTGTGTTTATCTCTGCGTGTCGGCGTGTGCACCCACTGCTCTCGCAGGCCCATTCTCAACACGTTCCGGGCCACGTTGCATTTGGCACAAGACGGCTGATGCAGTCCCCGGAGTCGAGCTGAGCACAGGGGTGTGGGTGCAGCAGAGAGCAGTCTTCACCCCAACAGGCCTCAATTCTGCAAGGTGGGGGCTGCTTTCCCTTCCTGATTACTAAGGGGAGGGGGGTGGCAGGGCGCTCCCTCTCTCCAGCATGAAAAGGTGCTTCCAATGCACTCGATGGGGCTCCTCCAACTGCTCTTGGAAGAACCATTTCTCCACAGCCCGGAGCCCTGTGCTCCCAGGTTTATGCACTCAAAACTGATTTTTGCACACATGCAATAGGAAGTAGGCACAGCATACCCTGGTATAAACCGAAAGAGAGGGGGAGAGAGATGCAGCTCCTAGACTCGTCTCTCTCATGATTTGAAAAGCAATAACAGCTAATTTTTTTTTTTTTAATACCCTTGCAAATGAGACTGTCATCTGCATTTTGTAGTCTCCTGGAAGACGGGCTTGGCGCTGTGCTGGTACAGCACAAGGAGGAAGGGTGAACGAGTGGAGCAGCTCCGCCTGAAAGCTGCACTGAGTTTAGGTTTGAGGGGGGGAGAAAAAAACAAAGCACACTGTGACTTCATTTGGGTCAGCGAGTGAATGCGTTTCAGCCAGACCAGCCCTTGCGATCCCATGTTTGTATCTTCAGTGATTGATTTAGCCGCCTGAAACTGAGCCCGTTCTTTGCTGTTTGTCAGTAAAATAGGTTTTTTTTTTGCACGTTTTGCATCTGACTTGTCTTTCCCACCTTGCGTAGCGATGGGGCCTGGTGGGGCCACACAACTCATGGGTAGCGGGAGATACTGGCTAAGTGGACCTGAGCCGTGGTCAGTGTCCCCGTTTGGGGCTCGCCCGTGCTCCACAGGAACATAAGACGTGCCATTGAGTGGGTCAGACCTTGGATCCGTCTTGCCCAGTGTCCCATGGAAGCAGAGCGGCTGCTGAAAGGACGAGTGAACTGGGCCTGACCGGGGTTTGCCCCACGACTACTCTCCCACTTGCAGCCTCCAGCAGTTAAGGTCCAGGGAGTTCTGATTCAGAGGCCGTGCTCCTTGCTCCCATGCTCAGTAGCGACTGATGCCCCTTTTCCGCCAAGAACGTGTCCAATCCCTTTGTGACCAGCCAAACTATCAGCTTTCACCGTGTCTGGTGGCAACGAGCCCCACGCTTTGTGAAAAAGAAGTTCCTTGTGTTAGTCTGTCTTTTATGACCCCCCCCCCCCCCCT